ACCTCCTGCGTGAGCAGAAGTTCCCAGTTCTTGAAAATGAACTTGAGGTTTTCTGCCCACCATGCAACCCAGACCGTGCTGTGTAGAAAGCAGTGCCCAGCACATTCTATGAAATCGGGGACGTGTGAGGGAGATGCAGGTTTTCAGGCTTGGGTTCCCTGTTCTCTTTCTTGGTACTAGGGATTGTGCATGGGGCCTTGGACCTCTTTCCTACTCATTGTTTGGATACAGGGCCCAATTAAGTCATCAGTGGCTTTTGATCTTTTCATATTCCTGTCTCGGCCCCCCACGCAGTTGGATTGCCAGCTTGCAACACCAGGTTGTGTGTGGTGGGGACAGTGTTTGCGTGGAGGTCAGAGGGTAATCTGAGAGAGCCAGTTCTCTTCTTATACTATGTGGGTCCCAGGAATTGAACTCAGGTCCTCAGACTAAGCAGCAATCACTTTTATGTATTCAGTTACCCTATAGGCCCTACCACACTTTTGTTGTTGTTTAACACATTCTTATTTAGAAAAACTTTAAATCTAGTTAGTGGTAAAGAATTCGGAATAAGCTTCCAAAATAACCAAATGTGATTCTCCCCCAATAATAGGACCATGAATTGTAAAAGATTTCTTTGCCCTTTCAGAGGTGGGAAGTTCTTTGTCCTGGGCTAGTTAGTTAGTTAGGGGTGATGCCCGGACAAGAAGGTGATCCCTTAACTGGCTGCTTCCCACACAGTTTCAAAGTCTGCAATCCTTTGAAGGTCTCCTTCCCATTCCGGCTGCAGGCACAGTAGGATGTTCCAATGGGGGATGTGGGGTGGGCAATGCAGACTCAAATGCAAAATCGGAAAAAAATTACATTTGAGTTTGAACCCTGTACCGCTAACAGATAACCCCCCAAATGCCGAAATTACAGGCCCTAGCAAGATGGCTCAGCACGTAAAGGCACTTGCTGACAAGCCTGATTGATGACTTGAGTTTGATCCTTGGTACCCGCATAGCGGGAGGAGAAAACCAACTCCCTCGAGTTGTCCTCAGACCTCTAGCAGCATGCTATGACATACACATACACTAATTAATTGATTTAAAAAAGAACAACAGCAAGCTATCTAAGTGAACAAGTAATACTCCAGGTTACTGTTGGGGCCTTCCATTACGGGTGTCTAGGAGGAGGTGTCTGGCTACTAAGGAGCATGCCACAGATAATTCTGATGGACAACGTCAATCACATCAAGTCTTTGCTCATGTCTCTTCCCCTAATGCACCTGATTTTAGTCCTGTACATGCCCAATTATGCATAAACATAAGAAGGTAAATAATGTTTCCCTAAAAGTTCACTCAGAGGGCACAATTTTCCTTCTTGCACATGAACCCAAAATCAGTTCAGACCAGATCAGTCTCTGTGCCAAGATATGTCTTGGCATACACTTGAATGGAAACAAACTTATTCCATTGTTCTGAGGGGGGCATACTTGCAGTTTAATGCAGGCAGGGGGCGCTAAAGTGCATTGTTAAGAGAGGAACATTCATATAGCCCATGCCAAGTGGAGTTCCAAGTTGTTAAGCTATTCCCTATGCTTTTCCTGCCTGAGGACCCGTGTGTGTGTGTGTGTGTGTGTGTGTGTGTGTGAGAGAGAGAGAGAGAGAGAGAGAGAGAGAGAGCATGTATACTATTATACTATATTTTAATATATTTTTCATCTTTTATTTTATATAAATGATAACATATTAGCTGAGCAATGTATTCAAGAAGGTTCCTCTCAGAGCCTTTCCATTATGGCCCTAAAGCACTTCATGGATACATAACATCACTGAACCATCTCTTACTACCAGCTGTTTCTAAGCTCTCAGTCATAAATGATTCTATGTACACTACCTTGAACTTGCACAGCGCTGGGCATCAATCAGTAAGACAAACTGTAGGTGTCCTCCCTGGTCCTAGTCTCCTTCATCTAATCCCCAGTACATCTAATCCCAGTACAAGGGGCTCTACTTCCAAAACGATTCCCTGCACACTGCTTCTGCCCTGGCCTGCCGTGCGCGCTCTGTTCCAAGCTACCACTGCCATCTTTTACATGACATTAGGCCTGGCCGAAGTTGTCTTGGTTACTGTTTTATTGCTGTGAAGAGACACCATGAACAAGCCAACTTATAAAAGGCAATCATTTAATTGGAGACCTGCTTACAGTTCATGATGGTCGTGATGGGAATCATGGTGATGGCGGCAGGCAGTGCTGGAGCGGGAGTTTTCCATCATGATCCACAGACCTCAGGCAGAGAGAGCAAGGCTGGGCCTGGTGTGGGCTATTGACTTCTCCCTTAAAGTTTATTCCGAGGGGCGTACGCCTTATTGCACAGGACTGATTAGACTTTTTAGGGACAAGTCACAGCCCACCCCCAGTGACCCACCAAGACCACGCCTTGGGTTCCTACACCCAAATCATGCCTACTGAGGAAGAGATCCCTTGGGGTCTCGGTGCTCCTTTCTCTGAGACTGTGCACGACACTCAGTGAGTACATAACTGAAGACTTCCAAGACCCCCATTAGCCGGCTTTTCCACAGGGGGGTCAGTTGAATCAGATACACGTGTCAGTCTTGGAATAGACATAATCCTAACTGCTCTTTTGTATCTGATTTCCCCCTATGGATTGTCCTCCTTCCCTCCCTGTTTGATCTGGCTGGTCTGAAACTTCCTAATGTAGACCAGGCTGGCCTTGAACTCTGGCCTCTGCCTCTCCTGTGCTAATATTATAAAGGTGTGCCCCACCATGCCCCTCACATACTTTTATAGTTGAAGAATCTGAAACTCGAAACACATCCGTGGTATCACAAGCCATGTGTTAGGATCCAAACCCTGCTTTGTCTGCATTCAAGCATGTAAGCTGAGTATCAGTCATTGTGCGTACTGGCAAGCAGAGATCGCATCTAGACAGGAAACCTCCATGGCACCTGCGCCCTCTGCTGGCAATGCTGTGCAATGTCTGGTCTAAAAGCCAATTTCCCAGAATACAACTGGTGGTGGTGGGTTGAAAAAGTTTGTGATGTGGTGAAAGAAAAACGTCAGAGTCTTCTGATTTCCAGTTGCAAGAAAATAGGAGGACTGAAAAAAAAAAAAAAAAAAGAAAATCATACTAGTGAGGAAAAAATTAAGTGTTTCAAAATTCTCTCTGCATTAAACAGATGTTTTAAAGAAACAAGTTTTATTTTCTCATCATTCAGTCAGAGAGGGATGCAGTTGTAATTTTTGCACCTGTCAGCAATACAGTATTGAGTCTTCTTGAGTGGCTCATTGACATAGAAAAAATATACCACAAGGAGGTAGAGACAGGAGCCTTGCTGATATAGTAGGACCTGGTCTCAAAGAACAAACTAATTCTTATGAATATGCACTGAGAACATTTATCACCACACCATGCCCTATACACACCTTTTATTCTCCCCAGCCTACAGATTGTCTGCTGTGGCAGAAACAAGTCTCACTCTCTTTTTAGCCCCTCATCTCCCTCTTTCAGGAAGTTCTGGAACACAAGACCCCATGGATCATTCAATACAGGGTCATGGTTAGGAATCTCAGCTTTAAAATCAGGCAAACCCGGGTTTGGAGCCTAGTTACAGCACCTCACAGAAGCTACCCTGTGCCTTTAAATATCCTCACAGGACCGGGAGGAGGTCTGAAGACATACTCCCAGTCTGAGACACAGCTGTGCCCTCCCCAAATGTCCCTTCTATCATCATTCAACGCAACCTCCTCATTTCATAGATGAAGGAATGGGGTTTTGAGAGACAAGATTTCTAAGGTGAGGTGACTTTAGGGCAAAACTAAGTGGATGAAGGCATCATTGCCTGTCTCTCCTTGTCTGGTCAGATGCGGCACAGTGGATTTTCATGGATTCCTCAACTCTGAGCAGCACAAAGAGGTTGGGACATTTCCTCAACTAGGTGTCAGGGCCATTTTGAGCTGATGCTATTGCTCGAGCCAGGGACAGCACATCCTACAGTTTAGCTCCCTGCCATCAAGAGCCGGCTCTTATCCCACACTGGTAATGTACCTTGCGTTTGGAGTGGCTAACTTCCACACAGCGCCGTGGAGCAGCTGCCCTGTCATTATTTTTATCTTCTGTAGAAAAAAGAAGGTAATTAGGGAGTGTCATCACCAACAGCTTTCCCATGTTCTGGAAAGTGCCAAGCCTCTGCATCCAGCCAGCCTCCTCCCCACATTCCTGAAGAGCCCTCTTCAAGGACCCCTGTCTTAGTGAGGGTTAGTTACTGTTGCTGGGAAGAGACTCCATGAGCATGGCAACTCTTACAAAGGAAGCATTTCATTGGGGTGGCTCGCTTACAGTTTCAGAGGTTCAGTCCATTATCATCAGGACGGGGACCGTGGTGGCGTGCAGGCAGACGTGGTGCTGGAGCTAAGAGTGCTTGGAGGAAACGGGAAGTCAGCTGACAGTCACACGGAGGGACCCCAGCCCCAGACTCATTCCTCAAGTGCTTGGAATCAAGAAAGCTTGCCCCACAAATCCATAGCCAAACGTTCCCACTTCAGGGCCTTTGGGGAGTAGGACAGATTGCTTTGGGAGCCTCTAAAGGAATGAAGAGAGAATAAGAAATATAGGGACAATAGCCTGGCTAACGTTTTGAGTTACAGTCCTGCTCCACACACAGAATTTCGGTTTCTGCCCTTCAGGAGTCTTCAACTTGAACACTTGTGGTGGCAATTCAACTGTGTGGGAGCCTTGATCAGGGACCCTTTGCTCCCTTAGACAATAAACATGGGATTTCTTAAAGCCAGTGTGGAGTGTCCAAAGACCCTTGGACAAGCTGAGACAGGATTGCCTCTCATATCAGAGGGTACACACACACACACACACACACACACACACACACACACACACACACACACACTTTGACCTTATCTCCCCAAGCAAAAAGAGGCAGACTATGGACGTCCTATTACACATACTGTTTACTCTGGGCATGGCTATTGACTCCAGACCTTATCATTGGGTCCTCAGACTGGGCAGGGCAGGTCTGGGCACCAGGAAGAGCTGGTGCCCCTACCCTACGCTTGAGAAGAAAAGAAGAAGAGAGATCAAAGCAGAGGGAGAGAAGTTGCTGGTTGGACCACAATGAAATCCCTCCTTGTACTACTGCTGGTTCTTCTGGACCTGGGACAGGCCTATGGAGCTATGCACAGGTAAGGCCCTGACCCCCAGCACTGAGCTGAGCACAGGCATCCCCAAGCCCCAGCTCAGAGCTGCCCTTAGGGGAGGGAGGAAAGCTAATGAGGAAACGAAGAGAAGAAACTGAGGTATCATGAGAATCCCTAGACAACGTTCCCCACTCAGTGCTAGATCTCTCCTTCCAGTGGAGATGCCTGCCTCAGTTCAAGGGGCTCTCCCTCTGCTGCTGGAAAGCATGCCCAGAGCTGTGGCCTGTAACGCCAAGCCTTCAAATACTTCCACATGTGGTGATATACTGTTTATGATCTAACAAAGCTTGCCTGGAGATCAGCATGCAAAGCTAGCCAAAGCCATGGAAGCTGAGCAGCGGTGGCACACGCCTTTAATCCCAGGACTCAGGAGACAGGCAATCTCCGTGAGTTCAAGACCACCCTGGGCTATATGAGAGTGAATCCGTCTAAAAGAGAAACAGGGCTCACGCCTTTAATCCCAGCACTAGAGAAAATATAAGGAGCTCAGTGCAGTCCCAGGCAGCAGTCTGAGATTTGGTGAGGAGCAGTGCAGTATGGAGATGTAGTCTGAGGTTCGGTGGATCGCCCCTTGGGTCTGAACATCGGTAGAGGTGAGAACTCTCTAGTGATTGGCCGCTTTGCTTTTCTGATCTTCAGCTTCAACCCCAATATCTGACTCTGGGTTTTTGTTATTCATGCTACATTCCCAGTGGGTACCGAGCACCACTGTCCACAGAGCCCTTCCAGCCCTTTAAGTCAGCCTTTCATGGAGGTCAGATAAAACGGCGGACTGTGCCCTACTTCCCATTCCCTAGAAGATCTCACAGGGCCAGTGCCCAGGACAGAAAGCCACTGCTACTCAAGACAGAGAAGGCCTGCTTCTGGCCGCACGCTGGTCTTGAAGGTCCTCTCCTGGATCTTGCTGTAGTCGGGCTCTGAGCCCATACACGGATCTAGGGGACAGAGTCAGAACTGCCCCCTCATGCCTCACTTTTTCTCCAGGGTGCCCCTCAGAAGGTACCAGTCCATCCGGAAGAAACTCCGGGCCCGAGGCCAGCTCTCAAACTTCTGGAAGTCCCAGAACTTGGACATGATCCAGTTCAGCGAGTCCTGTAAAATGGACCAGAGTACCAATGAGCCACTCATCAACTATCTGGATGTAAGATTTCTGGGGCTGAAGCCTGGGGACACGGGGTGTGGGGAGGAAGGCTGGGCCTCCCTGCAGGGACCAGTGCTCCATGATGGTTTCGGGTGCTCAGGCATGGGTCTTTGCTTGGATGACGCAGATGGCCAATCCCCTAGTCTCTATGAACTCCGGAAAGCGGGCCTCAGTAAGGCCCAGTGTGCAGGGGATTTCTTCAAGAAGACAGACATCAGGGTGACATATGCTCCAAGGGGAAAGAACCTACTGTGTGCTCAGAGAGGCATTCTACTAGCTGTGTGTTTGGGCAAAGAAAAAGAACTTGCTTCCCCACATTTCCAGTTCCCTGGCGCCTAGAATGGAGCCATTCCCGTCCTGTCCCATCCCGTCCTCCCCCCCCCCCCCCCCCCCCCCCCGCCTTGTTCGCGGTGACATCTTGAGAATCAGGGTAATGTCAGAAGAACAGAACCAAGGTTCCTGAGTGTCCTCAGTGTCCCCCCTGGTGGCCTGCTTCTTTGTCTGCAGCCTTGCCTCTTTGAGGTTCTGTAGACTGTCGTCTATGGTACTCCGTGCTCTGGTCGCAAGCAATCCATTTCCCCTCTTCCTCCCACGCTCTCTCTTTCTCTCCCTTCCGTGCAGATGGAATACTTCGGCACCATCTCCATCGGCTCCCCACCGCAGAACTTCACCGTCATCTTTGACACTGGCTCTTCCAACCTCTGGGTCCCTTCTGTTTACTGTACCAGCCCAGCCTGCAGTAAGTGTGGGCAGCAATGGTGCGGGGGGGGGGGGCATTCCTTGGCGGCTAAGGTGGTATTTTGTGCGGTGGAGAGACTTTGATTCCCTCCACTGGTCATCTATCTCTTCCTCTTCTTCCTTCTTCTCTGTCTCTCTCTGTCTGCCTCTCTCTCTCTGTCTCTGTCTCTCTGTCTCTGTCTCTCTTTCTCTCCGTTTGGTGTGGCGGATGGAGATGAAAAGCAACTGCTAGTCTAAATAACAACTTTTAAATTAGTCAGAATTAATGGAGAGAAAATTAGCCACTAAAAAGAGAAATCTTTGACTTGGTGACTCACTTCCTTTGAAACACACCCAAAGGAACGCGGGGGGGGGGGGGGGGGGGGGAAAGTTCCTCTGACAGGTAGGTCAGTTGAGTTCTAAGGAAGACTGTAGACCTGCTTCAAAGAGGCCCCAATGGCCTGGCTCCCATGGAGGCGTGGCTGGTGGGGTACAATGGCATGGGTGTGTCCATTTGGCCAGAGGTAAAGTGAGGGTTAGGGAGAGATTGAAAACAGAGGCCCTAAACAGAGAAGGCTCTTTCTGTGTGAAACACATCCCAAGGGTCAAAGCTCTTTGAAACCCGAAACTAGACACCTGCAAAGTTGGGTGAAGAGTGGGGGGTAATTTCCTAGAGTGGTAATTGTTCACCCAGAGCTTCCCCGAAGGCCAGGCTCTGCCCCACACCGATGGCTGAGACCGAGACCGCTGCTGGCGCCAGGTAAATGGTGCTTATCTTGTGTCTGCGAGGTCAGTGTGAGCAACCAGATTTGCCCAGGGACAAATATTTGGTCCCTGGTTGGGACACACCTGGTTAGGCTAACGAGAACACAGTAGCTCGCCGACAGGCCTCGCCAAGAACCCCCATCTTCCCTTTATTGCAGGTAGCCCGGGGGAGCCCCTCCGCCTCTCTGGGGTGGGAGCAGTGAGTAGCATTCTTGTTTTCCAGAGGCACACCCGGTCTTCCACCCATCCCAGTCCAGCACATATGAGGAGGTAGGGAACCATTTCTCCATCCAGTACGGAACCGGGAGCCTGACAGGGATCATCGGAGCTGACCAAGTCTCTGTGAGTACCATTCCCCCATCTTTGCTCTCTTGCACAGGAACTAGGCACAGGGGTACAGTTCTCGGGGACACAATGTCAGATCTGCTTCAGGAGGAGATAGACAAGGCTAGCTTCTAGGACAAGGGAGCGATCCTTCACACCCGAGATGGGACAGTGGTCGTCTTCCAGCACACCGACCCCTAGACCACCTTCAAAATAACGTCAGGGCCCAGTGCCTGGTGTCGGGGCTGGATCGCCAGTCCCTGAGCACTAAGAAGATGAGAGAAGACCGCCATCTTGAAAGAAAAGAGAAGTGCCAGCCAGAGAGGGAGCTGGGGCTCCATCTGTGAACTAGGAAGGTGTTGAGGCACACATTCAACCCAGGGAAAGGTGCAGGTGTTGAAGTCCCAGGGTCTAGCAGCTGCTCCTTGAACACTGTAAACCCTCCTCCGCCCCCGCCATGGGACTCAGAGAACCAGGGGAGTCCTGGTCCTGCCTGGATACTTTCTGCAAGTGTGTGGGAGAAATAGCCATGGCCATCATCCCAGATCCCAAGGTCAGCGGAGCCCAGCCTTCATCAGCATCCCGTCAACAATTTGAGCACGAGACATAGAATTAAGTGGAAAAAGTGAACAAAACAAACAAACAAAAAACAACCTAGCAGAAGACTCTTTTTTTTTTAACTGCCCTCCCCCCATTAAATCTGGTGCAAATCTTTCTGAACTCTTATGAATTGTATGGGGCTTTGGTTCTCCAGTGAGCTGGTCATCAAATAATATAAAACAAAATGAATGTATTGCTAGCCTTAATTATTTTATATAGGACACTAATTCTCCTTAAAATATGTTTAAGAGGGCTGGAGAAACGGCTCAGTGGTTCTTCCAGAAAACCTGGGTTCAATTCCCAGCACCCATATGACAGCTCACAACTGTCTGTAACTCCAGTTCCTGGGGTCCCAACACCCCTACACAGACAGGTTCCAGCTGGCATCTCTTCCACTTGACAAATACCTTCTCTCTGCTGCTGCATCTGTAGACCTCAGGCTACAAGCCCAGGTTAGAAACCACATCTTTAGCGCACTCTCTAACTGGCATCTGCGACTGTGTAAAGACAAATATCTAAAAACACATATGTATGTAATGTATAAGTATACAGATTAATGCAGTTAATGCAGTTCCGTAGGTGACAACCACAGCCTGAAGTGCATTATATGAGAAAAATCAGCGACCTAAGCTGTTGTCCTGAGTCACACTCACTAATAAGAACAAGCCGCTTGTAACAGGAGCAAACCAAACCCAAAGAAGAGGGAAGGAGAGAAAGTATAGAGAGAAGGACAGGACTTCAGTGAAGTGGGAAATCCACACTGGAAACAAGACCAGCAATGGCGCGAATTAGCTGTGAAGGGCAGCCAGACTGGTAACCCTCTGGCATGACTAATCCAGAAAAATGAAAAGAAACCCAACATCATCAGAATGAAAAGGGACACTATTAAAGATCTTGCCAGCCTCAAAACAAGATAGCAAAGTTGTCTTGCATTGATAAGCTTTGCAATAATCTTAAATTGATGAATACTTAGAGAAATATGACTATCAAAACTGATGCAATCAAATAGAAAATATTGATAATCTGGTATCTATTTTAAATGCTCACTCTTCTACTTAAAAACCAAAACAAAAAACTCCCCACAAGGAAAACTCTGGGCCCATCTTCTGGAAATTGGTAGTTACTTCATAACCAGAACAACTTTAATAATAATACTTGAAAAGGTTATTATAAGCTCTAAAGCATGCCTTTAATCCCTGCACACAGAAGGCAGAGGCAGGCAGGTTTTTGTGGCAGCCCAGCCTGGTCTACATAGAGAGTTAGTTGTAGGATATCAAAACTATATAGTGAGACCCTGTGTCAATGGTTAGTCAGTCAGTCACATAACTAGAACTAAAGGCTGGGGATACTGTTTAGTTTGCAGAGTGCTTGTCTGGCATACACAAAGCCCAGAATTTGATCCCTAGGACCACAGAAACTGGACAAGGTGACTCACACATGTAATCCCAGCACTCAGGAGCCAGAGGCAATAGGGTCAGAAGTTTAAGATCTCCTCTGTTACATAGTAAATCCTGTGCTAGCCTGGGCTGTATGAGATGTCTCAAAATGAACAAAACAAAAAGGATTAGAGTTACACCCTTTCTCATAGATGTCAAAGCTTTTGTGCTCTGAGACAGCTCTCACTGTGAGCCAAGTTTAACCTAGAACTTACTGAGGGCCGAGTTGTTACCTGTTGAGTGTTGAGATTTCAGGCAAATGCCACCAAGCCCAAATAGATGCCAACGTTCTATATGAGGATCATAAGACCCAACCGAGAGTCATTTCTTCCTAGAAATTTGTCATCTGAGAGAATAAAATCAAAAAGAGCAATGCAAACATCTGCATGGGTAAAATTCAAGATGCGCTCATAACTTAAAAATAAATGCTTAGAAAACCAGGACTATAAAGTAACTTCCTTAGTCTAATAAAGAATTCCCACCCACAAGCCAGTCATGGGGATGCGTGTGGGAGGCTGCAGAGGAAGCGGGCGAGTTTGAGGGTAATTTGTACTCCTGAGGAGCCCTCAGCAGAGCTTACAGTCAATAGTGAATGTTTGAGGGGTTTTGAAATTCTCCCTGAGATCAGGAAGGAGACAGCAGTAGTCATATCACCCCGCCTACAGGCTGAAGAACGTTACTTACTAACGCAGTAAGACAGGGAAAGAAAAAGAACCTAAGTAACACTGCCCCACCAGCCAGCATGTGAAAAGATTCTCTGTTTCTGATTTTGTTTGTCTTTTATTTTTTTCATCTTTGACATTATAATAGAGTTACACAATTTCCTTCTTCCTTTTCCTCTCTCCCATAAACCCCTTCTAGCTCCCTCTCCAATTCATGGTCTCTCTTTTTTAACTAATTGTCATTATGTGCATATGTATGGATGTGTTCCTAGATGCCTACTAACAACCTGCTCTGTGTGTACACTATTACTTGTATGTACGCGTTTTCAGAGATGACCATTAGGTATCAAATAACCAAATGGGTGGGCTCTTGCCTGGGAGAGACCATTTCTCCATTCTCAGCATGCCAAGGTTGCCAGGGTTCTCCGCATAGGGCTGAGGCCCCATGGGTTTTGTCCCAGCCATGTTGGTATGGCTATTGGTGTCACCCCTGTTCAGCTTATATTTACACAGTTATATTGGTGAGGCTTTATGGGTGCGGCTTCGAACTTTCTTAAGAGACGTATTCTCGCTCTGCCTCTGGTTCTTACAGCCTCTCTGTCTCCTCTTCACAGTGACTCCTGAGCCTTATGTGTGGGATATTTTTTTTAAACATACATTTTTTAAACATACATCTCTGAATTTTGATTGGTTGTGACAGCTCTGTTGGTTGCAAAGAGAAGTTTCCTTGGTGCGAGCTGAGGATTGCGTTTATCAGTGGGTATAAGGACAGATATTAATGTGTAGTTAGGGTTTATGTTGCTTCAGTAAAGTGGTGGCTGTAGGTTCTCTTCTGAGACCCATTACTTCCCTAGCCTAGGCTTCCAGTACCAGGCAAGATTTCCCTCTTGTTTTGTTCAGTTTTTGAGACAGGGTTTCTCTGTGTAGCTCTGGCTGTCCTAGATCTTACTCTGCAGATTAATAAGAAAATCCACCAACTTTCTAGAAGAGGTAAACATACAAAAATCATGTGGATTTCTATGTCACAGCAAAGACAAATGGAAAATAGGTTTTAGCTCTTTCTCTCTCTCTTTCCTGCTATCCCCCCGGGGTAGACAGGAATTTTCCTGTCTCCCTCTTCTCTCCTGTCCCTCCCTCTGTCTCTGGGCCTCATTTCTCTCCCCTTCCCCCTCCCTCCCCTTTCTAATAAAACTTTTCACTAAAAATAAATAGGCTTTAAAAAAGTATGTTTGATACCATCAAAAACAGCTTACCTTTAACAAATATGCTCTACCCTAAAAAACCATAAATCATTACTGTATGAAGTTAAAAGACTATATAAATTGAAAGGTGAGCCATGCCCATAGAAACACTCACTTTGATAGGTAAAAATCTCCAAGTTGATTTATAGATCCAATGTTGCCCCAACCAAGACAGTAATGAATTGTTAGAAATTGATAAGTTAGTTCTAACATATAGGTGATTGTAATGTAATATATGAAAATAATCTTGATGAGCCGGGTGGTAGTGGCGCACACCTTTAATCCCAGCACTTGGGAGGCAGAGGCAGGCAGACCTGTGTGAGTTCGAGACCAGCCTGGTCTATAAGAGTTAGTTACAGGACAGGCTCCAAAGCTACACAGGGAAACCCTGGCTCTAAACAACAACAACAATAATAACAATAATAATTTTGATTAATAAAAACACTGCCGAGGTATTATAGAGCCACAATTTGGACCGCCATATTGGTGTAGGCTGAGAAAAAAGGAAAGAGACAGGTGTACCAGGATGTGTGAAAAAAATCCAGAAGTCTCCCACCAACTACCTCACTCACTGAGCATTTTACTGCAAAATGTAGAAGATAAAGTAGTTACGAGAAAATGGTAGATCACTTAGATATCTGTATAGAAAAGAGCTTTGCCATGTGTGGTCAGATTTTAGGTAGATTATAGATCTAAATGCAATAATGTAAAAGAATAAAGCATGTAGAACAAATGGAAAAATGCCTCAATGTCCGTGAAAAAAAAGAGAAAAACTCCAAAGCACATTATTTTAAAAAAAGAAGAAGCTAAAATCAACTACATTAAAATGTATACCTTTTTCATTAAAAAACATGGATAGTGTGTGGACTGTTATTAAAGTAGACACGTTTTTAAAGTCACATGAAGAAATTACATTAGTGGGATTATAGTAAACATTTTTTGGTGCCTGTTTACCAAGGAAAGCTGAGAAAGAAAGAGTTGGCTTTCATCAGAATCGGGACTCAGCCTCATCCAATGAACCCTTACCTAATCCTCCCTCCAGGTGGAAGGGCTGACTGTGGATGGCCAGCAGTTTGGAGAGAGTGTCAAGGAGCCGGGCCAGACTTTCGTGAATGCGGAGTTTGATGGGATTCTGGGCCTGGGATACCCCTCGCTGGCTGTTGGAGGGGTGACCCCGGTGTTTGACAACATGATGGCCCAGAACCTCGTGGATCTGCCTATATTTTCTGTCTACATGAGCAGGTGAGGCCACTCAAGACCCACAGATCAATCAGGTCAGGGATGATGAGAGGCAGATGGCTGGTACAGGAGACTTTATGGACCTAAGACCAGTGAATCTCTCGAAACTCTTGCTTGCTTGACCTATGACATATGATCTTGAGCAAAAAACACTTAGGCTCTCTGGATTTCTGAGGAAATGGGATTTGCCTCATAAAGGAGTTGTGACAAGCACTTGGTAAACTACCACTGTGAGTTGAATCTATGGACCCTTGAGATTGGCTAGTGATTTATAGAGTCAATAAATACCCAAGCTGGGCATTGGTGATGCATGCCTTTAATCCCAGCACTCAGGAGACAGAGACAGGCAGATCTCTGTGAGTTCAAGACTAGCATGGTCAGTCATGGCTGTTACACAGAGATACCCTGTCTCAAAAAAAAAAAAAAAAAAAAAAAAAAAAAGGTCCAGGTGCATGCCACCTGTGATGGTAGACACCAAAACACGATGAAATAAGAACAGCATCTATGGTTGGGAGACAGGGAAAATTAGCCAATAAGATGACACTAACAACAAGTATTCTTTCGTGGATAGGAAAAGGAAATGTGATACAACCACAGGGAATACTTGGTCTTTGAAAGGAAAGAGAAGGGTATAGTGGCACTAGGGGACTTATCTAGTTTACAAAAGGCCCCGAGTGTAATCTCCCAAGCCTCACAAAAATTTTCTGACATGTGCTAGAACATGGATTAAACTTCAAGACTTATTCTAAACGAAATAAGCCAGTCACCAACGGAACAGATACGATTCTACTCACAAGAGACCTAGAATGGGATTCAAAGACAGGAAGGTACAGTGGAGAGGAGATGGGAAAGGAATCCTTGTTCAATGAGTCTCAGTTCTATGTGGTAAAAATGTTCGGACGCTTGGCATCATGAGAATGAAAATCTGAACTACACACCCAAAAAATGGTTAAGATGGTTTTTATCTTATACCTGTATTGCCATGAGTTCTCCAAGTCTGTACACTATCATTGGGAAGATAAAGCTTGCTGCCCCTGTACCCTTGCCTGGGATGCTCACCTCACTTTCCTCCCACTCTGGCCTGGCCTGTGCTCGCCACGCTCCATTGTAGGTCTCCCTTTCACACGAAGAGTCCTGCGTTTGCTCTCTTGGGCTGTACAGTGTCTCCAGAGTGAGTGAAGTTGGGACCAGGCAGGGCAGGACTGTGATTGAGGCATGCTGTCAGGACCCATGTTTTCCCTTGCTTTGCTCTGTGTCCCAGTTTCCTGAAGGTTGGATTCAACAAGATCGGAGATGGGGAGAGTTCTAGAACCCAGGACTCATGAATGCCAAGCAAGCGTTCTCCCCTCTAGTTATATTCCCCTGTCCTCACAAACCTAAAATCCCTACAGATATATGATCCTTCTCCACTACCAGCATGTCCTGCAGCACCTCAGGCTTTGTGTCTTTCTGCTCCTTTTCCTCTTGGAAATGCCCCTCTTCCCCGAATCCTACTAAATTCCAGCAAATAACTTGAGGAAAAAAAAAAAAAAAAAAAAAACTACCAAAGAAAACTAACCAATAGTCAAGCTCCAAAGACATTTTGCTTTCAAACTACCTTCTCTGCCTTAACAAAGGGGAGTGAACATTGTGGGAAGTCCAGACACCAAGCGTTCGTAGCAGGGGAAGATACTCCGAGAAAGGGCATTTTGGAAGCATCCTCGGTGTTTGCACACCGATCTGCAGATCTGATGCTACCTGTCTCCTAAACATTTTATCCGAGAAGCAGGGAATATTCACAGAGCATTGGGCAGAGCTGTTCTTCTCTTTGGTTCCCAAAGGCTCAGGCTACCTAGGTAATTTCTGCCTACCTGGGTACCAGATGTGAGTGCCCAGGCACACAAACAGCCCATTGGCCCTTCTTTGACAATTTGACTTTCTCTCTATGTAGTGATCCACAAGGTGGCTCGGGCAGCGAGCTGACCTTTGGAGGCTATGATCCCTCTCATTTCTCTGGGAGCCTCAATTGGATTCCAGTCACCAAGCAAGGCTATTGGCAGATTGCGCTGGATGGGTGAGTATCCTCCACGTAGTAGCTGTGGTTGAGCAGAAGCGCTCACCTCAAACTGGATTAACTGAGTGACACTGCCAGGCACCAGAGCAGATGCTGGGGACCCGACATCTGTCCCGGAGGTGTGGAAATACACAGGGAGGATTAGAGGAGTGACTTCCTTCAGTGTTCACTAGCAGGCCTCCTTCTAACCCGTGCAGCTACTTGCCCTGTGTTCGCACATCCTTAATTAATACATAGTGCAATTGCTGAGAGAGGCGGGGAATGCAAGGGTCTTTTGGACTCAGGGTTTTGCTTTCTTGAAGCTTGCATGGAAGGTGAGATGTGGTTTCAAATTGTCACCACACAAAGTGGATGTGGTCAGTGCTCCAAGAGCCACTACAATGGCTAGCAAACAGAGTGAGACATCTCTGTCTGAAGACTGCCCAAGATTCTGTGGAGGCAATGGCTCTGACATTGAGCCTTGAAATCTATGTGTGGGCATGGAGCTAATGGGGAAGTAGGATCGTAGCCCTGGTACATGGCCAGCACTGTGCTACACAAGGTGTTCTAGATGAAAGGTAAAGCAGCTCCGATGCTCACTAGCTCCTAATGTTTGTCAGATGGCTTAGGGCATCCTTTTAAGGAACCTCTGTTTGCTTTGTGTTAATTTTTGAGGAAGGATCTTGCCGTATAGCACTAGCTGGCCTGGAATGTTCAGGATCTTGTCACCTCAGTCTCCTATATGCTGGAGTTACAGGTGTTGCCTACCATGCCCAGCTCCTGAACTACATTTCTGAATGAAAAGAGTACAATAGAAAGTACAAGAATGTATTTCAGCATGCGCACACCTGTGTGTGTGTGTGTGTGTGTGTGTGTGTGAAGAAGCAAATGTATTTCCTACTGTGAATCTCAGTCAAAAAAGCAAGTTGAGTCAGGTATAATGGATCATGGATCATGCCTGTAATTTCAGCACTCATGAGGCTGAGACAGGAGGATTGCTATGAGCTTGGGACTGGTCTGGACAGAGTGAAACCCTGTCTTTAAAAAGAAGCAAGTTGGCTAGTGACACACACCTTTAATTCTGGCACCTGGGAGGCAGAGGCAGGTGGATCTCTTTGAATTCAAGGCCAGCCTGGTTTACTTAGTAAGTTTCTGATCATCCAAGGCTATGCAGAGAGACCCTGTCTCATACAACCAAACATGCCAGTTGAAAAACACTGCTGTGGTAGAAGAGACCAAAGGTAATGCCATTATTGTGTCCTGGTATGGTGAAAGGGCCCCATAGGGAGCAGGAATGTCCAAGCATCAGGTGCTAATCATAGGGCCATGGGCCCTTTGTCCTCAGAATCCAGGTGGGAGACACACTGATGTTCTGCTCTGAGGGCTGCCAGGCCGTTGTGGACACTGGGACCTCCCTCATCACTGGCCCCTCCCACAAGATCAAACAGCTTCAAGAGGCCATTGGGGCCACACCTATGGATGGGGAAGTAAGTGTCTACCCCGGGTGGGGATGGTGTAGGAGCCTGTCCTCTGGGGAGAGAGCTGCCTCTGAGTCGATCCTTCTCTGTTGTAGTATGCTGTGAATTGTGCCAACCTCAACACGATGCCAAATGTTGCCTTCCTCATCAACGGGGTTTCATATACCCTCAGCCCAACTGCCTACATCCTGCCGGTAAGGGCTGTTTCCTTATTCTGTGAGTCACAGGACTCTCCGCACACACGTGCCTGTCACTTCCCTTCAAAGTCATCCACACAAGGTTACAACTACTCCAAGCTCCTGCCACGAAGCAGTGGCTATTTGGGTACAAGACATTTAAGGGGGGGGGTTCTGATATTGCCATGAGGAGTTTATCAACAAACACTGGAGATGTTACTATCCTGATTCATCGGAAAAGATGGTGAGGTTCTCAGAGTTAAAGAGATGGTTCAGATATGACTTCTGGGGCTGGTACCGGGGTCCTTTCCTGCCAGATTTCAATCAGGGTCATCTCAGTATATCGAGGATGCTGGAGTAGCTTCTAACTTCATCCTCGTCCTCACAGAGCTGTGGCTTCCCCCACCTCCTGACATCAGCAACTTCGAGTTTCAGATGGTTGTAGGGAAAAACCATACCTACCTGGTAGAAACCAAATCTTTGCTAAAATGAAAAATAAAATCGGGGGGGGTACATGCTTGCAACCCCAGCACTCAGGAGGCGGAGGCGGAGGCGGGATAGTGAGTTCTGGACAACACGGGTTACATAGCGTCTAAGAGAAAAAGACTGGGGGAGATTGGGTGCCCTTCATAGAACAAGGGATGTGGCTTGCCTTGTGTCTAAGAGAGCCCACTCTATTGCTCCTTCCCCAGATGTCAAGAAGGAAGTAGTGATGGCTAGTCCTTCACAGAGCAGTTTCTCTCCCTTATAAAAATTCAGTTGAGCTCTGCTTCAAACCAGAGAAGATTGGATTTAAACCAATGTGTCCTAATGCCTCAGCTTTTGCAGTAAGGTTATTACAGTTATACAGTTATTATCACAGTTATCATCAGCTATAAACTGATGTCAGGGTATGGCTGTAATAGCATACAGTTCTCAGAAATGTAGAACACAGATGAGTGAACCGAGAAAATATGTACTGTACTGAGCAAGCTGGAATATGGGCGTGAAATGAAGGTGAACCCAGCAACCACCAACCATCTCAGGCCACTTGGCACCAGCCAGCGCCACCACTCAGTAGCTCCCAGGGCTCTGTTCGTCTTCCCCGGTCTGCTATTAATTGCTTCTTTTGGACCCTAGGACTTAGTGGATGGGATGCAGTTTTGCGGCAGCGGCTTTCAAGGACTTGACATTCAGCCACCGTCTGGGCCCCTCTGGATCCTGGGGGATGTCTTCATTCGACAGTTTTACTCAGTTTTTGATCGTGGGAATAACCAAGTGGGACTGGCCCCCGCAGTACCCTGAGTAGGGATGTGTGTCTGTGTATGGATACCTGATACGCCTTTTAGCCTGTCAGATCTCTACCAATCCAAAAGTCATTTCCCATAGGATGCAACCATCCCAGAGTATTCAGACTAAAGGTAGCATAGGGGCACACACACAGCCCCCCCACACTGCACACCCCACCCCCACCATGATGGAAGAATGAAGTTCAGTCTATAGCTTTTATTGCTTTGTATCGACTTTCTATTATGGAACTCCCTGAACACATATGCAAGCAGATGTGATGGCGAGGTAAATCCCCATGCCCCCCTACCCCACTTCACAGCCCATCCACATGTAGCCAGGTCCCTCTATCCTCCCTCTGGCTCCAAATTCAGAATCACATTCTAAGCACCATATCATTGTATCTAATGTCTACTATCCTTAAAAGTCATAATTTAAGTATCTCTCACTTGCTCATAAATGTGCACCTGTTTTTACAGCTGGTTTATTTGTATCAGGATTCAAAGCAGATCCATAATTGGGGAGGTAAACCATAAATTGCATTAGCTTGAAATGTCTCTTAAGTGTTTTCCTTCTATAGAATTTTCCATGTTCAGAGTTTTGCTAACTGCAACCAGGCATGGTGGTACCTGCCTGTAATTCAGTACTCCAGAAGCTGAGGCAGTAGGATCCTGAGCTACATAGCGAGCTTCGGGACAGCCACGACTGTAAGGAGCTGTAAGAAGCTAGCTCAGTCGGTAGAGCATGAGACTCTTAATCTCAGGGTTGTGGGTTCAAGCCCCACGTTGGGTGCCATATGTAAGGAGTAAGGTTTTTCCTCCTGCCGCTGGTCTTGTGCTGCCATCGCGCCAGCCCCAATTAACACACCGAGACTCTGTATTTGATATAATGCTGTTGGCCAGGTGCTAGTTTCTTATTGGCCTAGCTCTGTCTTAAGTATTAACCCATTTCTATTAATCTAGTATTTCCACGTGGTCTTCTTACCAGGCAGTGGGGCCGGCGTCTGGTCTCCCCAGTCTCTCCATCTTGACTCCTCCTTACTACTTCCTCTTTCCTCCTTGTCTCCTGGTCCCTCCTATTTTCCTTTCCTATTGGCCAACAGTGTTTTATTCATTAACCAGTATGAGAAACATATATACATAATGACATCTCCCATCAATGGCAAGACTCGGTCTCAAAAAGACCAAGAAAAGATTTTGAGTCGTTAGAATCTGGAAGCACTGTTTGGCACGGGTATCTGCGCCCACCCTGCCTACGAAATGGTAGTTAGATCTAGAGACCTTGATTCATGGCAGAGCTCTAACATACAGGACTGGGCATGTCCAGCAGGAGGCAGATAATGCTGGGTGTCTTTTAGCTGGCCATGTTAGTCGAATGAGTGGTTTTACATCTGTCAGCCTATATCCTCGAACACGAAGCCCTCTCTTTCAGCAGCCACCGACAGTCGTCATTGAACCTCTCGAGGTGGTTAGGGTTTTCCCAATTCTATTTTTTCCCGTAAGAATCACTTTCCTTCATCACCCTTCTGCTCACTGTGAAGTACACCTATGACTGCCTGAGGCTTCCCCTCCCCCACTTTGTCAAAAAAAAAAAAAAAAAAAAAAAAAACCAGCGGTTGCTATAGCAGAGGGTAATGGATTTAAACCTAACCATTCCAACATACTACCTTACTTTACTTTCAACATTTAATTTTCAGTGAGTTTCCCCAGCCCATCTCACACACCTCCACCCTATCAGGCAGCCCCAACCATTGTCCCAAAGAGTTCCGTGAGCATGCCTACCAGTTTACTGTAAATGAAAATATGCGGTAGGCTGTCAAACAGAAGAGGGGGTAAGGACACTCCTGGAGTGTGTCCTGAGAGATTCCCCAGGGAGAAACTGGACTGGACCCATCTTCATCCTGGGGCTGCCACTTGTTTCCCCTTCCTCCCTTTCCAGTTCAGTGTGCAAAGACGCTTGCTCCCAAGCCTGATGACCCAAGTTCAATTCCCGGAACCCACATGGTAGGAGAGATTGCCTTTGAGTTGTCCTCTTATGTACATATTCTTGCCCTGTGCCCCCACACACACACTAAATACATAAATAAGTAGATAGATAAGTAAATAAATATTTTTCCTCTAGCCATATTAACAGGGAGAGTTGTTGGTATGCAATGTTTTTCTTTCTACACAGAAGAAATCATGGACCACATATTCTCTAAATTGCCACTTTCCTTTCAAAATATGGGAGCTCAGGCAGGAAGCCAGTGAGTTCAAGGCCAGGGCTCACTACACATCTAGGCACTGCTTAAAAGAAAAACGGAGGGGCAGGAGGAAGAGGGAGGAGAGGGGGAAATGTGTGGGGTTCTCGACACTGCAGATAACTCACGATTCTAACGTCTACTGCTGTCTGTTTCTCCCACCTTCTCTCCTGCTCAATCCAAAGCAATAAATGCTTGGTTTATGCCAGCCACACAACGTAGTGCTTTAAGACCTGCAAGGTCACTGGGACAGGCTCACACTGTCGTCAGCAGGCAGGAGGAGTCAAGGAACGCCCCGCGTGCTGAAGGTAGGAAGCTACCCTGGATTCACGCTTGCATCCCCTTCGTCACGACCTTGCACACACTTTTCCTTTTGTCTTCATACATTTTATTCCATTTGTTCCACTAACGTACTGCCCTTGCAGTTTCTTCAGAACGGCTCGTCGTTCTAAACAAACTACCAGAGTGTGAGAGCAGAGCAGGCGGGTAAGTGTGTGAATTCCGAGCAGGACAAGCGGAGACTGGGTTCTCCACACCGCTCTGCTCACCTGGGAAATGGTCATGGCAATAGGAAGTGCTTCGTGAGGTCATGTGAGGACGCCGTGCCTGCGGTGGATTGAATGAGAACGGCCCCCGTAGACTCACATATTTGAATATTTTGGTCCCCAGTTGATGGAACTGTTTGGGAAGGACTGAAAGGCGTGGCCTTGTTGGAGGAGGTGTGCCACTGAGCTGAGTGTTGCGATTTCAAATTCTCGCTAGTTAGCTCTCTCTGTCTGTCTGTCTGTCTCTCTCTCTGCCTCATGCTTATAGATCAGAGATAAGCTCCTCAGCACGACGGTCATGGACCCTAACCCTCTGAAACTGAAAGCCTCCAATAAACTTTTTCTTCCTTAAGTTCCTTGGTCATGGGATTTTGTCACAGCAATAGAAAAGTACCTAAGACAGTGCCCTGGGGCATGTAACAGCTAGCTAGCTTGCAGGCCTTGGTCCTTAGGGTGCAGGCCTTCACCCACCGGGAGAGTCTCAGGAAACGCAGAGGCCCTTGAGACCCACGACACCCCAAGAGCCAAGTGGGGGCCAGCTTGGGAACAGCATCCGGCTGCTGCTCTCCTCGGGGTCATTTTGGCCCGAGAGTCCCCTAGAATGCGGTGACCTGGGGCTGCATGTCCAGCAGGCTGAGAGGAGCCGAAGGCTGCAGGGTGGACACGATGCATAACCCACACCGTGGCAGTGGCACGTGACCAGAGGAAGTGGAAACTCTGTCTTCACTCCAGTCCCAGTAGCTCTGTCACAAAGTGCTGCGGCCACCTGGACTTTTGTCCCATCCTTCCGATCACTACCTTTTCCCGAGGCTGTTTCAGGGGCATCCTACCCTGATACCACCCCTGCCCTGTGCCCACGTCACACCACTGCCCACGTCACAGCATGTCACACTACTGCCCACGTCACACCACATCACACTACTGCCCACGTCACACCACGTCACACCATTGTCCACGTCACACCATTGTCCACGTCACACCACTGCCCACGTCACACCACTGTCCACGTCACACCACTGCCTGTGCCCACATCACACCACTGCCCACGTCACACCACTGCCCACGTCACACCGCTGCCCATGTCACACCACGTCACACCACTGCCCACATCACACCACGTCACACCACTGCCCACGTCACACCACTGCCTGTGCCCACATCACACCACTGCCCACGTCACACCACTGCCCACGTCACACCACTGCCCACGTCACACCACTGCCCATGTCACACCACTGCCCACGTCACACCACTGCCCACGTCACACCACTGCCCATGTCACACCACGTCACACCGCTGCCCACGTCACACCACTGCCCACGTCACACCGCTGCCCACGTCACACCACTGCCCACGTCACACCACTGCCTGTGCCCACATCACACCAGTACCTGACTGGTGAATATTTCTGAAAGTCATGAGAATCCCATCCTTCCCTTGTACCCACTTTCCTGTCGTCTGCCCTGGGTACCAAATGACACCCAAGTTGGGAGGATTTCCACGACTGTCCAGGACCCTGCCTCTGTTTAATTCCCTCCTCCATGAATATGAGCTGCTGGACCCTGTTGAATCCCCCCCCCCCACCCCGTATCCTTGCTTTCACATCCTGTTCTCGGGGGTCCTTCTACCCTTTCCACCTGTCCTGATGGACCACAGAAGGGATGTCCCACACCTGCAATCCCAGGACTCAGAAGGTAGAGAGGCAGAAAGCTTAAGGCCAGTGTGGGTTACATTGTAACCGCCACCCCTCACCCATCTGCAAACAAGCAAAATGGAGAACTTTGCAGCCCAGCGTGTGTACAGCCAAGGCGTTGGCCTGGACTGGCCAATGAGCCAGCTCTCTTGTGCTACTCAGAGGGTCAGCATCTCCTCTGCTCTCCCACGTCACTTCCTGTCACTGAGCCTGAGTACTCTCCTCCACTCACCCAACACTTGCACAGCCTGCCCGGCCTTCCAAGTCGAGTTCAGATTCCCTCTTTTTTCCCCTTCGGCACACCTTACCTAGGACTACCATCTTCCAGTCTCTGTCCTATTTCCACCATTAAACTCCAGGATCCATTTGTGTCCCCCTCAAGAGTCTGACCTACTCAGACTCCTGGGTAAATGTACTGGGCGGGACACAAGCTGAACAGCCTTCTCCAGTGCAGCATGACGGAAAGGGAAAGGGAACCGACTTGTGACTCACACGGACGGAGGACGGAGGCTGGAGCCTGATAGCTGGTGTCTTAGTTTCCAAAAGACCCTGGAAACAGTTCTGCAAACAGCGCCTAGGAGAAGCCCTTTCAGAAGCTGTAAAATCTAGCTGCAGACAGGGAATTTCCATGTCCCCAAGGGTCCTCAGCAGAGCAAACCTGGTGACATCTGCCACTACATCTCCAGAGCAAAAGCCTCACCGCCATCTCATTTTTGCATAGTCATTCTCTTTTGAGGTAATTCCGTCTTAGAGAGAACACAAAAGGAAGGAGGTGAGGCATTCCATTCTTCAGGGAGCCTTTCCTTGAGCTCAGGAAATAAATAACCCAGAGGCTTCAGGCTGAAGGTATATCTGACCCCTCCCTCCTCAAGCACAGGTAAGTAGTAAGGACTTAGAAAATGTAGAGCCCAACCAAGCTGCATGCATAAGGTGAGACCATCCCTTCTGCCTGGCAGAGCCACCCTCCAGCTTGCTGAGCTATTTGTATTTTGTGCAGTGTGCCTCAGATACCTAGCTTTGTGATCTGTCACCCATGCTGGGAGAGCTTTGGTAACACAGCT